TGTGGGTTTCAAAGCTAGCTTGGTACTGAAATGCAGGATGGAGAAAGGGCTTGGCAAATTTCTGCTGGGGTAATATGGCTGGTGGGCTGGGCCATCCATTGTACTTCCTTCTGTTCCTTCCTGCCTCATTCTTCTGCAATATTTAAATAGCATCTTCTCTGGAGATTCTGGGAATCTTGGGTTTCCTACTGAAATTTCCCAGAATGCCCTGAGCTCCAGAGTGGCAAAAGACAATGGCGGCTCCCAGCATGAAGCGCAACAAAAAATGAGCAGCCCAGACACCGGTGAGCAGCGTGCTGGGGTAACATCTTCCAGTTACCCCTGTTCACTAGGGACACTTCATCTTTTTGTCTTTTGAGGAACGTCTTATGAAACTTAGTTTAATCAGTGGCTAGAGAAGCAAAGGCTGAATCTCAGGTCTGGAGAAGTTAGAGCTTGAAGGGAATTCATCTCAGTTGCATAGCAAAATGATCAAGGGGTTTGGAGAAGTTAGCACTGTCCGGGTTCCTCCGGCACAGGCAGGGAAACATGGGATATGCAGTTGCCTTTCCATGCCTCAAGAACTGGTGGGTGGCTTGGTGGTCTTCAAGGCATCTTTGGAAAGCAGCCTCTTTTTTACCTTCCTGTGCCCAGACAGAGTCTAAATCAGTCCTCCATCTTCTCAGTGATGCCCAGGCATAGTGTTGGGATGGCTTAAAAAGCACATTAGCAGAAACCACCCTGACAACTGAGAGATGGCTCCTGGCTCTCTGCCAGCTCAGGTGATGAGAGGCAATGCTTATCCAGGTGGCTCTGAAAGATGCACGGGGGGAGAGGAGAGAGACACTCGACATTCACTTTTTGGCCTGGCAAGGGAAATAGGGTGAAACGTTGGCTTGCTTTCATTACAAGCATGATTGTCACCCCCTCCAAATCAGGAATAGCAAATCAATGGGTCACCAGTTTCAACCCCTAGCCCTTCTTCCCCGAGAGCCTTAGGAGTCTCACGTATTCCTGTCCTGAGTTCCGGCTTTTCTCAACCTGGGCGCCTCCTAGCATGCTGGACCTCAGCTCTAGTAAAACTCCGACAGCATAATCCATATCTGAGTCAAGGAGCCAAAATGCTTCTAAGGAATCAGCCACCTTGGGGAGGCCAAAGTTTTGGGGGGGGGGTGTCTGGAAGTAACAACAGACTATTGCAAAATTGGGAAATTGGTGGGGGGAAATTGGCACGGCATTGGATTTCTTGGTAAGGGGCATGGCAGTCTGGCTGGAATTATGTATGTGATCTCTCCACCCTTCCACATTTTATTTCAGCCCCTGCCCCCCCTCCTTGATTTCTCAATATAACTTGGAGTTCTGTGCATCAAATTTATAAGCCACTTTATTAGGTTGTTGCTTAAGTTGATTGATCTGTTGCATCTCTTAAACTTCCTCTTGGGAAGGATCACATCTCAAATGTGATGTCCATTTTATGAAGATGAGTTGAAGCCGCACTGGTTCACCATTCTGCTTAGGAACTCTCAATTCTGCTTTTGCCTAGAGAAAATAAGTGCAGAACAAAAATGTGGTATGCAGACCGACATGCTTGCCCTTCCAGGGTTAATTTTCATTCTTTTCACGGGGGCCGAGAAGACTGCAAGAATAAATAAATAAGGATGGGAGAAAGACAGATTGGCTCCAGATCATAGCAGACAAGTAACCGTGCTTGCTTTCTCTTTCCTCTTGCAGTCTTGGAGCATAGCAAACCTACAAATATGAATCAGTGTTGGGTTTGGGCCCTTGCGGCATCGTATTGCAGAAGGACTCCCTGCAAAGGAAGTCATAAGGGGTGGAAAGAAAACAAAGATGCAGTTATAAGATTGTGTTGAAAAACTGATATATCAGCTGAGCAGTTGCTCAATCACTCCCATTGGTGCCGTAGGGCTGGTTCATCTCAGTTCACCCTTCCCACAGCCATCCTGCCTTGCCAGGCAAATACCGCACTTGCGGTGATAAAGACCACATGCCACACCATCAGAGAGAGAGTCGGGCCTGGCAGCTTGTGGTGTTCCATGGCATAAATTGTAGAAGAGGCATCTCTTTCCTTTATCCCACAAAGAAGAATGCCTCTTCTAAGGCAGTGCCTGCTATAATAAAAGACCCAACCCCTTTATTTCTTACATGAGGAAGAAGGCCTCTTCTTAGGCAGTGCTTATCCCAGAATAAATGTTGGAGGAATGCTTCTTCTGCTGCAGCAGACGTTTTGGAAGAGGCATTCCCTTTGATGCATGAAGAAGGATCGTTGTGTTTGTCGCAACATACGTTTTAGAAGCAGGGCGTGAAAGAGGAGGAAGGAACTGAGCTAGTGACGAGGAATGCCACAAGCCAGTTCCACACCAAAGCCCTTTCCCTTTTTATTGCTCCATGCCATCTTTCTCCTGCCTCCCGCCGCACAGGCTGCGCAGCAATGAAAAATGGCAGATTTGGCAGCGAGACTTCCAATCAATCAGGAAGGGCGCAGATGCCAGTCAATACAAATGTTTTGATTTACAGCTCAGAGATAAAATAGTTGTCTGATTTCTTCTGCAGGCAAAAATACAGCTTGAGAGCCTGCAAGCTACAGCAAGAGAATGGGCTGGCAGTGTTAAATTCCTGCCTATACTGCAATTATTCCTGGTGTGGGAGCATCTGTCCACAGGAGAAAAGATGGCAAACTAACTAACAGGTTCCCCGTTGCCTTCAGGTTGATTGTATCTGTACAAGAGCCAGCTTTAACCTAGCAAATGTATGTTTGTTTCTTTATAATACATGCATTTTTGACAGAATTCAAACTAGGGGGAGAAAAACCAGAATCCAGACAAATACAATTCAACTGAACTTTGATACCACAGATCCAAGGGGCTGAATCCAAATTAGGCTGCTAATTTAAAATTGGAGCTTTGTTTTTAATAATGTTGGTGATACCATCAGCTATGGTCTTGACCTGATACCGTAGCAAATACTGCATTTTTTCAGCCACTGCTGCACACCAAAACGATTCCAAAACTCACTAGCAGATTAATAAACCTGCCAGGAGGGGTTGCTTTCTCTAAGACACTTAGCCTTATGCAAGATGCGTTCGATTTCAACACCCATCCTTCTCAGGCAGTCATTAAATTACAGTGAGTTAATACTAGAAATACCAGACCTGGCTGGAAAAACCCAAAGAACTACTAGATGACAGCAACGTGCAAAGAGATACAGAACATTTTATGCTCCATCTACTGACTCTTGGGATTTTTGCAGCCCAGCAAATACAACTGAACTAATTCCAAAATAGCCAAGTACAAACGCCTGGGGGTGATATCGCCAATTAGGAGAGAATAATTTCTTTTGGAGGAAATTGTCCAGAGATCTGAGCTAAAGAAACAGGGGTGGGAGAGCTACTGCAGGCATCTGGCTTAAAGGACCCCAGAAGCCTGGAGTGAGCTTTGTCTCCTGGCTTGTGAAGATCATGGTCCTAGCTTCTGCAGTGTTGAGCTCACAAAAGTGTCAGTTGTGTGCCCTCAAATGAAGGGATCTTCAGTTCTGCAAAGGGTTACATATTCTTTTCTTGGAACATTATTTCTAACTTGCTCCCTGCAAAATATTAATAGTTTAAAGACAGGGGGAGGATTTTATAGGAAGGGTTAAACCCCCTGCCACTCACCAGACGTTTATATACCAACTGCTTTTCATCTCTTTTTCCCTGGCGAGGGAAGGCAGAAAGCCACTGCTAATCCAACATAAATACCCGCGGAGTCAGTCTGGAGCGTGGCATCAGAATCATTTACAAAAACCTGAAATCTGAAGAGGGCTCCCAAAACTACGTAACCTGTCGAAACTCTGCCAGGGAAAATACTCCAGAGCTCCATGAGAAAACCTCCACAGGGTTTTCTGAGTACTAAACGGGTTGGTGGTATTAGCAACGATGAAGGGGAGAGGCGGGCAAGGGACGGAAAGGCCACTGGGCAGTTCTGGGGCAAGCCATCATGTTTGAGACTGAAAATAGGCCACCTTGATTTTCTACTGGGCTTTCTAATAGGTAGGCTGCAAATGCATCATTATTTCCAACAAAGTGGCTTGTTGGCCAGCAAGTTCTGAACTCTCACTTCTTGAAGGACAGGCACATAAGATGCTAGAGAAGTCCCTGCAATGGCAGACAGTTCACTTGCCCCAGAGAATTGCATATTCCTCACGTTGATCCTGGCTTTCGCCTCTTTCTCTTTCATCTGCCGTCATCCTTCATCTGTTGCGTGATTGTATGGAAACCTTGTTGAGTCTAAACATCTCTCGCTCTTTCTAAAACATCATCTGCATTAGGGATGGGCAATGTGAGGACCTCCAGATATTGCTTGACTACCTTTCCCAGAATGTATCACCGTTAGCCACACTGGGGCTGCTGATCATTGCTCGCCAGCAAAAAATGGGAAGGCCACGAATGCCACAGCCCTGAACTGCATTGACCCCAACATGCCTTGAGCATTTTAGGTCTGCCTTCTCCCATATAATCATTCCCACATGCTCAATTACCTAAAGTCTGGCTCCAGATCCTGCTTCCTTCCAAGCTGGGCCAGTGAGCTACAAAAAGACGACTTTTGGGTGGTATCCCCACCAATATTTCTGGATGACATCTAACAAGAAACAGTAGCATATAGCTTCCTGTTTGTCACGGGCCATACCTCATTTTGAGGCTCTGCTCTTTTTCAGTTGGAATCCCTCTTTTAACTCTATATTTTGTCTCTCCAGTATCTCTTTTCAAGACTTCAGAAGTGACATGGGAAGCTAACCATGATCCCATCTCCAAAACAGAGCTCCAAGCTTCCCTTAAAGCAGCGCAACGCCATTCCTTGCATGCTTTGATCCTTACGTAAAAGTCAACATGTACCTTGCCAACCAGCTCGTGTCATGCCAGACCGCTTGGCAACCAATCTGGTGTGCTGTGATCTGTTTACAACTTTCTAGACTTGCCCTGGGGGGAGAGGGGAAGCTACAGCATATACAGTGCAGCTGTATACAGATTTATTTATGTATCTTATTAAAACATAAGACAGTAAAGAAAAGCCAAGACATTTTGCTATAATAGTTGCACTTGCTTGAAATATTTTTCCCCCTCCAATTTTTTGACATCTTCTTCAACCTCAAAATAAAATAAAAAGTATCACCCAGCCAGCAGGAAAAAGTTAATTTTTAAGACATCTAGGGCAGGACCAAACATTGGAAAAGAGATGGGACTGCTGTCCCTAATGGCAGCTTCTGTCAAATTTATCCTTATGGCAATTCTTTCTCCAATTTCATCTCTATCCCGACACCGCTGTGTGTTTCGCAGGATATATCTCTGTCCAGCCCCAGAGAAAAGGGAAATCAAGCGCATACCGTGCTCCCTAACTCAGACTGGAGCCTTGGGAAATTCACATCCCTGAGGAACTTCCCATAGTTACTGTATAATTTCTCCCAGAAAGTATACTGACAAATTGGTTCCTCCATGATGGGCAATTATTCACACCTACACAGGAGGAGTTGCTCTGGATCTGGGCCTTTCTGAAGTTTTAGAAAGAAATGAAGAAACCAGGCCTGCTGCAAAACTTGGGTTTCTACTTGGCAAAACCGAGCTGTGGACCCAGTCTTGCTAAATCACTGCTGCTTTCTATAGGACCAGATGGCTGCCAATGCGAATTCACCCCCTGCTTTAACCACTACCAATACTCAGCCTCTTCAGGGTGGGCAGAAGTCAAGAGCATCCATTTCAGCTTTGACCTGCTGTTTGGGTCACAGGTAGACACAAAGCATAGTCACATGTCACAATGGATAAATTAAGGTGTCATAGACAGGGAACGGGGCAGCCCCATCTTTCACACAATGCTGTGTTCTGCCCTTTGAAATCCCACAAAAGTCTGGATGGGGTTGCTTCCATCTTCAGAACAGTACTGAGTCAGATCCTTGTCAGTTTCTAACAATCCAAGGTTGTACAATTGATCTCCAAAGGTGAAAGTTGACTATTCGCTCCTGCAGTTCTCTTGTCCATATATATCCATCTCTTTTTGTGCGAGGCAGAGAATCGCATTTATCCTTCCCATTCACTTGCAGCGATCGCAACAAAGCCAGCAGTTCTGTCTCAACAGAAATCAATCATGTTCAAGCTGCTTTGGTTTGGTTTCACATGACCTTTGGATACTAAAGCTGGAATCTTATGGTCAAGCATGAAGAGTTTAAATAATATACAATTATTTCCATTATAATAACGATTAAAGTACCTGTTTAAAAAACATATACCCCGGCCACACTGGTACCAAGGCATGGTAGAAAAATGTAAAAACAGCTGGTACCATCTGTTGCAATTGAGCTCGGAAGCAGGTATCAGAAGTGTAACTCAAATGACAGGGGAGAAGAGACAAGAGGCAATTCTGCTGCTTAAACTAAGCCAACGGGGATGTGTCACTTTCAGTTGACATGGTCTTGTCCCCTAGCCCTAACTCACAGTCCAAATTTTCAGATGAGATTTTGTCAGTATATTATTTCAATCATCATCTCCCAGGCTTCCTTTGGGAAGAAATGTAAGACACTGCCTTTTCCTGAGCCACTTCAATTGCTCTCCAGAGTTTCAGGTAGAAGCTTTGCTAGCTCTGCCCGGAGACCTGAGAATTAAATTGGGTCTTTCTGCAACCAAGGTATGCACGCTTCCATTTATGATGGAATTTATGGAAGGCCCTGTAGCGTTACCCATCTGGAAATTACTCAAGATGAAATCAGCCACGCTGCAACCATCTCCTAATAGAAGGACTTGCCGGAAGACTTTTTCGCCCAAGCCGTGACACGCATGTCCGGGAGCACAAGTTAGCCCTAGGTTGCAAGCACTTTTTTAAATATTAAGGTAAATCTAAAAGTCTCCCATCCTCAAACTAATGGGAGGAGGATCAGAAAAAGTCCTGCTTTGAATTGGAACAGAGAAGAACTCTGGGGCCATTCCCAGCATGTCAGAGAATACCATTTGCTTGAGATCAGCAACAGAAAAGGAGAGGGTTTTGCTGCCCTACCGACACATTTCCCAGAGCCTTCTGATTGGCTGCTTCAGAACACAAGATGGAAGACATAAGAAATGTTAGTTAAACTCTGTTAGTCCATCAACTCAGTGTTGTCTACATGGACTGGCATCAGCTTTCCAAGGATCAGACAGGTCTTTTCTAGTCCCACCTATCTAAAAGATACCTGGGCATGCAATATATGGAACACATTGGGTCTTCAAATAAGTTCTGATGCCCAGCATATTCTCAGCCCCCCGTAGCCTTAAACGGATTAAAGGAGAGAGATTTCCTTGGATCTCAGAACCAAGATGGCAGATCAGAATCTGCCAATGGAAGGAAACTGGATCTGGGTTTTGGATTCAGTGTTAAGAACCATCCTCTTTCTCTTGGAGTGTTGCTATGCCTCCTGAAAGGAAAAAAGACATTTGCTTCATTCAGCTGCAGAACACCAACGGCAGAGAAGATGGTCCTCTGGGCAGACAGTGTTCAAAGCTCAAGCTTGTCCATCAATGTCCAGATGTGTTTTCTCCCCCTCCATTCTCTGTTGCAGGTTGTTTGGGAATTAGACGCCAACGAACATGCCCATAAAGTCAGATCCATTCTGAATGGTAACAGGGGCGCCAGCACTGTTGTCCACAAAGATTGATGTGTATTGTCCAGCCTATGCCATAAAATAGGAATATGGGGAGAAGGAAGAGGAAAAATGAATGTGAAATGTATGGATACCAAACCGGTGTTGGTTTAATCAACAAATCAAATCCAACTTTCATTGGAGCTAGGCGTTAGGGCTTGGAGATGACAAGGCAGTAGGCAGAGATGACATCTGCAGAAGGGGACACACCACCCATAGGTACCAACATGAATAAAATCTTGGGGGAGATGCAAGCCATTTGAAATTATTTGTCCAATGAACAGAGCTGGACTATCAAATGGGTGAGATCCAGAAGTCCCCTTCTGTCTCAAATGGATCCTGAAAACAACTAATTGAATCCTGATGGCATCCCACTCAGTTGGTCCCAAAAGATCTCTGATACAACCATCTTCCGCTACCTGGGATCCTCTGAATGAGTTAGTTCAGATTCCTAGAATGCCCTGCTTGGAACGGAACTCCAACCCATCTGGAGAGTCCCAGGCTGGGGGACACAGCTGCAGGATTTGGACTCAGAACAGAGAAAACGGCTGCAGATTGTTGGCAGAATTCTTCAGACTCAGGATTAACAGAACCATCTGTTACATTACCCTTACCTGGAGTTGGAGCAATCCATGGACATAAACAGTAAAAACTTTACTGTTACTTTCCAGCCCAGCAATAACTTCCAAAGATCTAGGCAGGTGCAAAAGAAGGAGACAGACATTTTACTGGCCAGGATATAACATTACGCTGAGGCATAATGGCTAAAGTGACACCAACGAGGCACAAGGGTATCCTAGATTCAGATTTACAAGCCTGGCCATATTTCACACATTAAAACAAAAGCCTGGGAAACTATAGCACCTGTTTAAGCACTACAAACTCTGTCTAGACCCTTATTCTCTCCTCCCCTTCCCAACATGACATCTTTAGTTGATTCTGCCCTAAAATTGCCAAGCCTAGTTTGAAAAAATGGAATCTCTTCCAAACTGGCCAGAACTTTACAAGGCACACCCCACTGAATACATTGGGACTTATTTCTGAGCATAGATATGTAGACTCAGCAATATTAATTGTAAGCTTTGTTGCACTTGTTCCAAACAGTCCTAAAAAGTAGAAGAGGCCAGCATCACACAAACATAGTTCAAACCAAAAAACGATCAACCTTTTCTCCTCTCTATGAGCTACCTGGCCATTTGTAATCCAAGCAGAGACTATAGTAGAAATAAAATGGCTCAAACCGCTACTGTTTTTTTGCTCCTCCTTCCCCCCAGCTGAATTTCCTTTCTCGTGTGCTTTTAAATTTAGCAAATTACTCTGGGATCTTTTTAGCCGAGGGCAGAAATGATTTTGATAGATAAAATAAATAAGCTCTTTGGGGTCAAGCTTAACCCTACCCCCAGTGACTTCAAAGACAAGCTCATCTTGTTTGTTTGGCAACAGTAAAGAAATAGTTGGCCATCCTTCTGGGAAGTTTTCTGACTTCTCAGTTCAGCCTATAGCCTAGGATTTCTGAGTGGTCTCCAATCCAAGTATTAACCAGACCTGATGCTGCTTGGCTAAAGTTGGTAACTAGGTTCTGCCACTTGCTGTGGGGCAGATGATAAATAGATCTAAAGATGCTAATAGGTACTATAAATGTCACTTTTAACTGGGAGATTTCAGTTTCATTGTAAAGGACGTCGTTGACTGTCTCTGTCTCATGCTTTCATTTGCCTGTCTCCAATTTCCAGGAAATAGCTGCTGTTGTATTTACTAAAACACAGTGTCCCAAAGAGAGCTATCATTGGGCTAGTGAAAACTCTAAGCATAAAAATCTTTAAGTTTGTGATGTATTTATGCATGCATGTATGCGTGTATATGGGGCATGGAGCCAAAATAGCCCCAATGAACACTTGAGTTGGAACGCTAAGAGGCTGTTGAGAGTGGAAGAATCTGAAAAACAGAGGGTTGGAGGAAAGGAATAAACTGGAATGACTGGGGAAAGATGGAAGGAGGAAGACACTTATCAAAATAAAAAAACAGCTCATCGTGCCTAGAAAGGTCAGTTTCTGGCTCCTGCGGCAGAAAAAAGAGGCAGGTGGACATAGATTAAAATGCCTGGGCTCTTATTCCAAACATAATTTGGGCAGGTCCCCAGGGTTACTGGATAAAACTAACTCACAATTCAAGCAATACAATATACTCACGTATATCGATGACAGAGGGATTCAATGCAAATCAGTACCCGAACATTGTCTCTTGCTCGAAGCTGCAGTTTGCTTTTCAGCTCGCTGTGGTCTTGGAGAGAAAGAAAGAGAAAGTGTCAAAAGGAAACCATTTCTGTTTCCACCTTCAGGAAGGTTCAGTGCAAAAAGGAACACATTTTCTACCCTGGGAAAGTGTCGGCCTTCCAACTGGTGGGGAATTCCTCATTCCCATACTTTTGGACATGATTCCTGGGCCTGATTGAAGCAAGTGGTGGACTATCATTCCTCCCCCCCGCCCACACCCCCCAGAAATCATAAAAATGATTGGGAGTAGAAATCAAAACTCTGACATAGAAGGGGAGAAAAGAACTGGGTTGCTCTTCTGGCACAATTTATAAAAGCATTGAAACTATGTTCTGAGCCTGTAAGCCCAAGCAGCAGCAGCCCCTCCCTTAAATTAAGACTTCTACCCCTCCCCACTCTAACCCAAATCTTCCTTTCATGTCCCAGGGCCCACTGCAATGAAAACAGAAGGCGAAGCTTATCATTCCGGATGTGATGGAATCTGAGAAAGGTGAACTGCCCGAGAGGGATAAAACAGGCTCGCTTAAAGCAAATTGGATGCTTGGAGCTGTCCAAGGTCCTGCACATTCAGCACAGCAGCACTGCGTATCTAAGCTACCCCACGAATCCTGTGTCTTGATCACCTCCAGCATCAGTTAGGTGGGCTTGCTTTGTCTTCCTCACACAAGCAGCACACACCGTGACTCTCATACACTTCTTCACTGTTCTCGAGAGGAAGACAGTGGACAACTTTAGCCACTGTTCCTTTTCTTGTCCCTGAAGTGGTTTTTATTCAACCTGGTGAACATGAAAACTACGTATAGTATAAGCTTAAGCATTAAATGTGTTAGGCTCTGTAACTAGTAGGGTTTTTTGTGCCTGTGAGTATCAGCAGCAGCTAATAATTATAAGCATTTGAAAATAATGGAGCAGGATAAAATCAGCGGAAGAGTTTTGAATACATGTCTGAGCAAAAGATGTATACAAAACTCTTCCGTTGATTTTCTCCTGCTTCATTATTTGTTTGAGCAAAAGACAGCTCGCGTTTTTCTCCCCTGCCCTTAGGCCATCATCTTTGGAGACGTAGATCTTGGGGTAACGTTCTCTTAAACCAGAGGATTGCCTGAGGAAAGCAAACTGAGTTTTTGAACCCATACCATAAACAAATTCTGCCACTCACCTACATGGACGTTGGCTGAAAACTGATAAATGCCAGATACTGAAGCTGTAAATCTCCCAGTTGTTAAATTTAGTCCAGATCCTCGAAGAAAAGCCCCTTTAGCTAAAGGCTATATGAGGAAGGGGGGAAAGAAAAGAATTGAAATATTAATTCTATCAATTCAACCATTCTTTCCTGCCATCCCATAATATATAAGAGGTGTGATGAACCAGCTAGGTTTATATACACTGTGTCCTCAGCCTTTCCAGTTTCCTAAATTCTTCCCCCCCCCCAAAATTGTCTTTAAACTTCCTGAAAATTGTTTTCCTGTGCAAAAGGAGCTTCTGGGGTTTTTTAAACCAAATTTTCAGAGCATTTTAGAATTTCTTTCAAAGTTTTGAGTTTATTTTATTGCAAACATCTGAAATGCTAGGGTTTCTTTTTAGCAGTCTCTTTGACTGTCTTAGCCTCCTAATCTAAAAAAAGCCTCCTGATATATGTCACTTGGGAGAGAGGCAGGCTGCAGAATCCAGGAGAGAGGATTCCCACCCACCCAGTCACTTTCATAACTACTGGAACCCCAGATATGAAAATGTCCTTAATTTATCTTTTCCTTTGGAAAAAAAAATGCAAACCAATTTACCTTCTGTAAAATTGAATGAAAAAGACACAGAGAAAATATTTTAGCAGAACTCTACTAGTTCTTAACTGTGCTGTTCTTTCTTCTGTTGCCAGGTTTAACAGAATGGCAGCAAGTCACAAATTCCCATCCAGAGTTTATATGAATTTTGGAAACCCAGGTTGTACTTTCACCCAGCTTTCTACTGCCTTATTTTGGAAAGAGTTGCTAATGTTGCATGAAAAGGTAAGGGCCTAAAACTCAACATCTGATGATGGCATGGAGCTATCCATTTCTTGGCAACAATATTGAAGTCATTTGCTATTGTTTTGTTCCATGATGATGACGATTTCCTTGTGGTCTCCTATCCACTATCAGGTCTGACTCAGCCTTTAGGGCAACATACCGGCTGAGTTTTCTAACAATGGTTTTGAAAGCTGCAGAGTCCTTACAATCAAGCAATCCGGCGTGATACATATCAGAGAAAATAAGATTTTGACAATCCTAGCTGATTTTTTTCTGCAGAACTTGGGAAATATCTTCCTTCTCATCTTCATTCATTCATTCAATAGGGGTCAACAGCTCTAGCCTGGCCTTGGGCTCTCTCAGCTGAAGCAAGGAGGAATTTTAGCTCGGTGGTTTGAACAACATCTTTATGTTCAGAAGTTTGCAGGTTCAATTCCCAGCATTTCAAATTGAAAAAGGATAAAGGAGAGGCTTATTTATCATTTCCCAAAATATTTGAAAGAAAAACGGTGGAGCCAAGTGGACAAACACTTGGACCCGGTTGTTGTTGTTGTTTTTAAGTCAGTAAAACATCTGTGGAATTTCAAAAGGAGCCCAAAAAAAATTATTATTTTTTTTTAGATGATTAGCCCAAAGTGCTCAAGGCAACTTCACGCCTCCCTCAAGCAACCTAATTGCTTTCTTCTGCAGAGGCAAAGCTCAGGGCCTTTTTGTTGTTATTTTATAAAGTGTGTCGGGCAATTGAGCAAGCCTAAAGCCGCTGGTTTAACAGCTCCCCGGCAAGGAGAATAGTTCTAGACATGCTGCTTGCAGGGAAGATTATCGGACTTAAGTTAAAATAAACCCAGCGTGGCATGTTTATTGTTAGTTTTGGCTCATGCAGTGCGGGTTTGGCTCAAATTCGGAAAAAAAGAGAAAATGAACTTTACTGAACTTTGGTGGGGGGGAATCTATTAACTGGGCATCCTTTTGTTGCTACATCAGGATTTGGGGAGGTGGTGGGGGGACTAATTTGGCAAGGTAATTTGATGATGCTATCTAAATAATAATTTTTTGAAAAAGAAGGAAGATGAAGAAGATAGCAGGTTTTTAATTATTCGAGCCAATGTTCTTCAGGATCTAGGAAACATACCCTCACTTTATCCTGTCAAATCGTATTTACCATCATCTACTGCTTGGCTACTTCATATGGTGGTGGGCAACCAGACTGGGAAGATTCCAGGATACGATGGCACATTTGGGGGAAAACTGCTCTAATGGGAGCAGGAAAATAGTGTTAGGTATTAAAAAGTTTTAGGTTCACCCATTTCGTTTCCTTGCATCATGGTCCTGAACTGAAATGGGCTCATGCAGTGAATTGTTTTGTTGAAAAAAGTAGTGTGGCAAGCCTTAAACCCCCTATATGAAACAAACAATATATGATGTCCCTTTGTCAAAAAGTTAAGAACTGATGTGCCGATTGCTATCAAAGGCTCATGTGTTGAATGTATTGGTTTAGATCAGTGTTTTTCAAACTTGGCAACTTTAAGATGTGTGGACTTTATCTCCCAGAATTCCCCAGCCAGCATGCTGGCTGGGGAATTTTGGGAGTTGAAGTCCACACAACTTAAAGTTGTCAAGTTTGAAAAACACTGGTTTAGATAGCGGACAACAAAGAAATCTGACCCAGGGTTTTCTGTTTTGATATTCCTCACACTTCTTTGCTCCCCTTTTAAGTTTACTCCCCTCTCTTCAGGAGATGGCAGTGCTCTCTGACAGTTCCAGTTTCTTGCCTGTTTCATTAAAACCAATTAAACAAAAATCAGAGGCAGTGACTTAATTCCCCTAAAACCGCTGACTTGAAAATAGAAGGCAGTTTTCCGGCACCAGTAAATTACTGCTTGAAAAAACATTCCTGTTTCTTCACGTCTTGCTCCCACTCTCTCAACACACTCACAAAGAGAAAGAATTAATGGGAAGGAATGGAATTAATCGTGATACGCTAATAGGTTAAACTACTCGCCAGTTAGAACAATCTGCCAGATTCCCTGACACAGCCCTTAAGCCTCAGAGATTGCAAAATTGGTTTAATTATAGTTGGAGAAGGGGGATACATCCATGAGATACTTACAGTTACTTTAATAGTGAGCCACCCCTGACTCCCCCCCCCAAGTGCACATGTTATCAACTCATTGCATTTGTGAAGTGGGCCTTTTTCTGTCTCCTAAATGACACGATTTCACCTTCAGGAGAAAACAGAGTACTGAATCCTTTAGGATTCATATACCACAGCATGTAGCAAACCATCTTTTGTTTAATTCTGGGCAATGGATACGAGAAAGATCTTTTATTTCTGCCTCCCTGTTGATTATTTTTTTTAAAGCTCCCGAGTACTTAGGAAGAAAATGTGGGATACAAATCAGATCTCAGCCTGGAGCCATCCTATGCTTGTAACTGATTTGTTAGACAATTCCAAGTTCAAACCCCAGCATCCCTCGATCTCATGTCCAAACCAGAAGATCTGAGAGACAAAGACTTGTTCGTGTTCGGAATCAGTGGCCCAGTGGTCTGGTGCAGAATAAAATATGCTTGAATGAAATATTCATTTTCCTCAGTTATAGGACTGGGTGAAAATGGCCCATGAAGATTGTATTAACCCTACCTTGTTGAATTCTAATACCTTTAGCTTACGACTCAGCTAAGATTCCTCCTCTCAGTGCTGCTTCGAAGGAATGCAAAGCAATTTTTCTATCGCAGTAGGAATGAAATTCAATGTTTAGAATTCTTACCAGCTATACACTTTCTCAAGGCATTACATACCAACCCCAATTTCCCATCCTCCTCCCCCAGAGTATTTCACAACTGAGCACGATCAGTAGGATAGGGTGGCTCCAGTTTACTGTATGCTAGAATCTGAAGCGATATGGGAGATTATCTGGTCTGACTCACTGCTCTGTGCCTGGTATAAAATCCCTCCCCCTTAACTTTGTTTTTAAACACTCTTTCATCAAACGTTGGGGTTCCCGCCGAGCTCCCGATATTCCTCTCTGCTTGCTTCAGATGGCTCCTTTTCAGTGACCAAAGGATCAGCGTTCATAAATTGAGATTGCCATCACTCTCTACGGTTGAGAGCAATGCGCTCTCCTTCAGGGATGTTATCCAAGTGGCTTAGAATAAAATCTATTTTAAAGCCATATAATTGCACTTTGCTAATGCGTAGCAGCAGAACAACTATGATGGAGGATCAAATGCTCATTAAGAGACCTGTGCAGAGATGGCTGTGGACGCACCCAGCAATGGAAGTGTTGAAACCCTCATGACAATAGCCTAGTTTTCCTTTCATCACTACCAGCAGGGCTCTGTCATCGGACTGCCTGGGCCCACAGGCAGCTGTGCCTCGGATACATCACTGTATTAATGCTCTAAACCAATCTTGCTCAGGCCCACTGAAGATGGCACGAATGTGCTTGCTGGCAGGGGAGGCATCTGAGAACCTGCCAAGCCTAATTAGAAAGGCACAGCCTGCGTCAGTTCAACATTAGCCTGTGCACTGATGGCTATTAAGATGTCTTCTCCAGACCAATTAGAGTGGCACCAGCATTATCCCTGGAGAGAACTTTGACCTTGCCTGGACTCCAAGGGACACTTATTCTAATCTCTGCCCCCCCCATGCATTTCCTCCCCAAACTTTTTTTTTTTTTAAAGGCTTAGCTGCCACAAGCAGAGCAAATAATAGGCTCTGTCTTTCATAAGGATGAACTGATGCTAAGAAAGAGGTAACTCTAGCACAAAGAGAGCAAATGTTTCTGTTTGGAACAGGCCAACGCAGAAATACAATTTCATAGCTTTCTTCCTACCACTACAAGGCTTCTCTGGGTTGATCTCAACTGCGGATGACTACACGGACATACAGAACTTGTCATTTTGTTGGCAACAGCACATAAGTAGTTGCCCTTGACTTCTTCTGGGACCTTGTTTTTCTGACCTCCCAATCCAGTCTACAGCCATGGGATTTTCTGCTGGTCTCCCATTCAAATACTAACCAGTATTGAACCTTCTTTTCTGGAGAGAGCCAAGGTTAGCCACTTGTTATACTAGCATTACTAAGAAAAGGTCAAGTCTCGCTTGGATCGAGCCCAGTTCCAGGTGGCTTCATGCCCTAAAGCCTACTCCAAACCTATTTGCAGTGTAACCAGGCGCTGTGGTTTCTTAAGACATTTTCCCAACTCCTAATAAGAGTTCCCCATTGGCCTCACCATCTGAAAGTTCTGGAGTTCCATCAAGGTTTTCTTGTCCACAATGATCTGCCCCTTGAGTTTGCAATGGAAGGCTTCCTCCACTCGCCGGTAGGGGGACAGTTCCTCCAGGGGCAGCAACACCACAGGCATCTCGCTAGGAGGAGCTGGTAGAGCCGGAGATGCCCGCCGTTCAGTGGCCTCTGGAAGAAGAAGGATTGCAAATGCGATTACCCTTAACCAGCCCGTTTCTAGGAAAGTCAAGGGGCCGGAAGAGGACCTGTTTACCTTTCAACATTTCTTTAAATTCTTGCATTAAGACTTCATGGGTGACTTCAGCCCCAGGAAAACCAGGGGGGCCTGGAGGACCAGGCGGGCCTGGAGGTCCAGCAAGACCACGCTAGGAAAAAAGTGGGGAAACAGAAGTTGTTCAGAGACTTTATTAGGCAGAAGTATCAGTTGCTGTTTAATTAGCCAAGTCCCAAATTCATGGCTTCGTTTGGACCTGTTCTAAGAAATGAAGGGACACTGTTAAGCTGGGCCAGTGAAGACCAGCACCACTGATTCTGGAACACATACACAAGATATGGAAGTCCTTGTACATCTCCAGGGAACTTTTCAGTCTTGCGTGCTCCCTGCAATCTTTTCACCGGACATACAAGAGATTCAACTGGAAGGAGGTTCCCATCACAGGGCAATGACAGAATGCCAGGGAATGTTTTGGCACAGAGTTGGCAAAGGACCTAACTAGCATGGATAGCATCATGGAGGAGCTTGGAATGTCACCATGGCAACACCAAGAAAAAAAGTATCTTGAAAAAGTGAGATCAGTGGAAGAAAAAAAGACAAGCAGTGGAGTTGACCAGCTTTGTTAGATATCCAGAAGAGAAATAACGGTACACTTCACACAAAAGTTCCCATTCTAAACATATTTTTCCCTGATCCGAGGAAAATCAACTTGATCTTTGGTGACTGCATCCATGCTATTTTGCCAATACCTTCTTTAGGATTCCCCAGTCTATACAAAGTGCTTTTTAGGAGAATAATGTGTGTAATGGAGAAAGAAACGCACCTACATGCATGGCTTTAGAGAAAGCGGCCTCCCAACATGGCACGTTAAGCAAAACTGTTCATCCCTCAAACTGAATACAGTATTTGGAACAGCCCACCTCCAGATATGTGGGATTTTCTCAAATGGATACAGAAATGGGACAAATTGAAATCATAGTTGGGAAAAATAACAGAAAGGCAATGAGCAAGTGGCCCCTGGACAGTTCACTCTTTCCAAGAAGAGAGAGCTGTACCCAGATCCACCACAAACCAGATTCACATTGGAAGTGTCATTTAGGAATCATATCAGTGCCTTCTAAGTAATAAAAGCAGGAGAGGGAGTATTGGGAGAAGAATCTTCTTCCCTTGTGTGTATGTGTGTCCGTGTGTGTTCGAAAGGGGCGATTGAAGAGAATAAGCTTCTGAAATGGCCTGTGATAACCCTGGATCACTGAAGGATTGTGCAGATAAAATAAACCAACAGGAGAAATAAGAGAAGGAGCACAGGCATGCAATGGAGGGTCCTGTTAAGGGCCTGGCTGGCTTGCTAACTAGGAAATGAATAGGAATCACTCAGCAGTGCAACATTTTCTGCAGATCCCACATCATCATTCTGACGATTATTACCTAACAGTTGGATATCTGGCTGGTTAAAAAGTCCAGAGATGACCATCCCACCCTGTAGCATTTTAATGCATCATCATCTTTGTCAGCATTATTCATATTATTATTATTAGCTAGCAAAAGCTTCCAGAAATAACCTACTTTTTTATCTTTTCCTTTGCATTTCTTTTTGGAGTTGCTGCCTTCACCCGGACGCTGTACAAATGAAATCCATGTCCGGCGTGGATCAGTGATGCGCGGGTCTGGGGACTCTAACATCTAAAGGAAGGAAGAACAAGCAATGACGACACTGAGATTCTTCAGCCCACGGGTGGCTGGCAGGAACCTATCCTTTGCTAAGATCTGGAGAGTCACTGGTTCCTGCCCTTCAGGAATCTCCAAATGGGAAAAAGAATGGTTACTATTCAGACATTAGGAGTCCAGGTTGTGAATTGCTTTTTATTTCTCCTTAATCTGTATGAAAATTAAGATAGGAAGAGAACGATAGAATTATACAGTCGATGTAGATGAAGACAGACGGAATTAGCTGAAGCCCGCAATGACAAACAGAAGTGGTTGTTTGCGAGCTCGATTTACAAAACAGCCATTTGTACCAATGTCCTTAAAAACAAATGGCCATTTTATAGCTGGGGAACCCCAAGGCTTGAGAACTGTAGGCAACTGACTTATGGACCAGGACAAGAAATGGCAAACTGTATGTGCTTCATTAGGACATAAAGCAATTCTGATTAAGCCATCAACAGATGCAGCCTGAGCATGCATTGAATCAGAGTTGATGGTTCTTGCTGGTATTGTCAACCGATGAAGAAATAAGATTCAACAGCTAGTCTGCTCCACTTCTCTAAACATAGATGAAAAGGATGCTATCTAAACAGCTTAATATCTTGGCCAGCCTCCTTGGTACCATCCTCCTAATAATTTCTCATTACTTACTATATTCAGCTTCCAACCAATTTGTTGGAATGCTGCAAATACACATAATGTCTGTTGCATTTGCCAATGCCTGCCTAGGCTGTATTTATGCCACTGGCAACAGGGTTTAAGTCCCTTGCAACTAAACCCACTTCAGTTTCACATTTCCCTGGTCTGAAACGATGTTTGTGTCATGACTTTTATCTATTTGAGACTGTTTTTGTTGCAGCTTGCAGGAAAGTTTGTGGGTTTTATGTTTCTCCTACGATACACATTTCCATGCCCAGTTTTGCTTTAATCTACACATTACTGCAAGCAAAATGTCACAGTGTCGTATGACTCGAGTATTTTCGTGTTCAAGATTCCTTTTTTGCTGCAGCTGACTAACCCTTTAGAAATTGTTGCAGACTTTTGCTAATATAGTGGATTTTTAAATATTATTTTCCGTAATATCCTTCTTGCTTTTTTCCACACACTTTCCCCAATATTTGTACAGTATTACTCTTTTTTTTTTAAAGGTTGAAAACTGCATCACAACCTTTGCGAAACTGTTTGTTACAGAGGCTAGCAGAGTTTCAGGTAGGTTTGAAATTCCAACTTTGGTTAAGTTTGCTTTAAAATGTGACGGGAGTGCATTTCTTTCCCATTTAAACTGTTGTCTTGCTTCTAGTAAGACTTAAAACGCAATGCAATCCCATACATTATTTCTCAAAAGAAAGATGAGTTGTGTTTGTTGTATTTATATTCATTTGAGTGTAGTCCAATATATATTTACAAAGAAATTTCACTCAACTCAATAGTGCTAACGTTTAGCTAACAAATTGCAGCCATAGTTTAAATTCAACCTTTCACTGTCATGTTTAGTAAGAAGGTAGCAATGCCCTAACTGACTTTACCTAATCTTTGAAAAAGCAAAGGTGGGTTGGATCTTCTTAATAACAGAAAAGGGGACCACTAGGAAATCACAAGATGGGAGGCCAAATGGGAAACTGAAAAAGCACTTCTTTATGTTCTCAGTAATCAAGACCTACCTTGGCCAAGCTTAGGTGGCAGCCCCAAGCTACTCTGGCTAATCTTGCAGAAAGCCAAATAGACCTAGTTACTACCTGGACAGAAGACCACAAGGAGATCCCAGGGGTGCAGGCTGTTAGACAGAGAAGTGGAAGAAACATCCTAGGAAAAGCTACTGCAGATCATTGCTGTATCGCTGCCAAGTCCTCTACGTGAGTTGAGCTTTCCTTTTTACATTTAGCAGCTAAGGGGATCGATGTGTTTCTGGATGCTGTGGCTACATAATGCAAGGGAAGAGGAAGTGGTTTGCATACAGCAGGTCTCAGGTTCAGTCATTGGCTCTGCTAGACAGAACTACCAAAGATCCAGAAAATTGCTCCCCATCCACCTCAAAGATCATTATCAAGACTGGCCTGCTGGCTTCTATATGAAGGGAGGGAAGAACAATTCCTCTCGTGAAGCACCATGCCTCTGCAGTCCAGCAAACGATTTATTGCTACTTCATTGCCCAATGTCGTTTAAGCTAGCCCCAGCCTAGGCTAGGGACTGCTTAAAAGCAGGGTTTGAACCCAGCCCATCCGTTTCTGCCAGCCTGATGCGCTCACAGACAAGCCTTGAGGCTGTACCCAGTCACAGCTCCTTGCCAAATGTCTGTCACCGAACTGTCAGCATCTGCTGCCATGAAGCAACAACCCCAGATTCCAGGAACTAACCAAGGAGCGGAAACGCCAGGAAGAATAATCAAAGTATGAAAAGAATAATGCACCTTGGACCTTGTAGGATTTCTCTGGGGAAGACAGGGGGGCAGAGAGAGGAGGGCTTGGATCATTTTCAAGTGAGGGTGGAGGCAAATGGTTTGAAACTGGAAGGCAGAAACTCCCCACAAGAATTACTGGTCTTGAAAACTTAGAAATCCCACTGAAACTTATTTTTCTTTACAAAATATGTTGCGTTCAAATGTCCAGGCCTGCAGACCCGAAAAGATTCTGCCTTCACTGAGTCTCTCAAGAAATGTACTGCCGACGAGATATCAAATGGGGCCAAAAAATAGGAGGGAAGGCACTTCGCCAGCATTACTCCCTTCCTGCAGGCCAGCAGTGGACAACCAGATACTGAACTTCAGCACACATTAATGGAATCTTGGAATGTATGAGTGGGAAGGGACTTTGGAGATCATTAGTCCAACCCCTTCCCATATAAGAACCTATTCTTGCAGTGCTTACTAAAGCATCAGCCGTAACATGACAAACTCCAAGATTAGATTCCTCCAAAGGCCCATCTGCTCTGGCCCTGCGTGTCACATAACAGCCAACAGACTACCTTCATGAGGCTCCCTTGCAGGAGAGCAATTCTCCTTTCTCGTTCTTGCTCATCAGCAGCCAGGGTTTAAGATACATTGGCATCACAATTAGCAACCCTGGATACCTTAGTTCTCTAAGAATCTGCCTCCTCCTCCTCTCTTAGAGCCATTTCCATTGGTGGCCATCACCAATGAGAGGGTAGCAAATTGCAAATTTGACCTGCTACCTTAAAAAATCTTTGTCAGCCCTGAATCTTTCTCCAGTTAATTTCAATGGATGTTCATGAGCGTTAACACTGAGACAGACAGACAAACTGCTCTTTCTTCACATTTTCAATATTTTCTATATGTCTAGATGTTCCTGCTTCTCTGACTTCTTTCTCACCTGAGAAGCCCCCAAGGATACAGTCTTCCTTCATAGGGGAACTGCTGGATTCTGATAGCCTCTTTAAGCACCTTCTCCCCCCTTTTATAAAGGGAAGGGCCACTGGGGGCCAATTGTAAGAGATCCCTGGGTTCCTCTGCCTCCATTGCCCCAGGCAGATGTTTGCGGAACCACAGCTGTCTGCACAGTGAGCCAAGAGGAGAACCGGAGTCACTTCTAGCAGAGCGCTAAGCGCATTCCACGGTAATTGAATAATTAGTGTCAATGTTAGATCCGTCAGGCACACCCTCCAGCCAGGCAGATTTTGCTGGCGTGGGATCAAGACTCCACTGTTTCCCGGGACCCCAAATTGCTATCAGTGAAATGAGCTTTTTGGCAAAAGGGAATGGGAAGAGGACCGATTCTCAAGCATCATTTTCTGGTTCATGCACTCAGTGCAAACAACTCCAGGATTCTCCTAAACCATACTCCAGTTTCTCCTACCTTAAGAGAGGGCTTACAAGTTGCATTGCAGATTTATCCTTCCCAGAAGTTTTCATAGACCAGAACATTGGTCAGCTTAAATTTCAAGAGAGAATTGAAAGTTAAAACATGGAGTTGAATTTTGGGGTGGCTGAATAAGGGAGTCAGTTTCCACCCGGCTATTTATTCCCAGTCTTTGCTCTCTTTGGCCTTCTCTGGCAAAGCTTCCTAGAACCACCCACATAAACTTGGCCATTTTTCCCAACCATGTTGTATAATAACAGCTAAAGTGAGATGGGGTGGGGGTTAATCCACTTCCCCAAAGGAAGTAAAAGTATTGAATCAATGTTGTTGGTCTTTTCCTATGGTTATCTTTGATCTGAAATAATGTGAGTTAGGATTTCGATCACAACCCTGCTCAAGTGCAATGAATTCTCTGCAGGATGTAAGAAAGCACATTAACAGCTGAAAGGTCCCTTAGCTTCCACTTGAGAGAGAAAATTGAACTTCCTAAAACCCTAGAATTCAATTCAGTTTTGGATATGGGGACCAGCAAATTTCATCTGTCTATAACAGTGTTTCTCAACCTTGGCAACTTTAAGACATGGCTGGCTGGGGAATTCTAGGAGTTGGTCCACGTGTCTTAAAGTTGCCAAGGTTGAGAAACCCTGGTCTATATCATTTCAATTTAGCAACAATCCGGGTCCGGGGGCTGGTCAGTCTACCTGAATCAGGCGTTAAATGGCAACATTTGCCATCAAAGCAAAATCTTCATGGACCGAAGACCCCAATTATTAAAAACTGCAGGAAACCTCCTCTCCCCACTTTCAGATAATCTCATTTCTCTCAAAGGCTCAATTGCAGCCATCCCACCCCTTGTGTCCTCCAAATGTGCTTGACTCCACATCCAGCCAGGAGTGGCAATAACTGTTTGACCCACTGAACCCCATTAGAAAAGGAAGTCTCCCTCATGTCAAGTTCAGCTCCTGGTGATTATATGAACATCCAGTAGGTTTGGGTTTGGACAGCAATATAAGTGTGTTTTTCCCATTGCCTCTTCCCAAGACTTTTTCTTTGACTTCCTATGTCTGACAGGCCCCTTAGTGGTCTCCACACATTCTAAGGACTAACCAGACCTGAACCAGGTTAGGTTCCAAAGCACCTTAAAGCCAACCATGCTGGGTTTAG